GTGTTGCTTCAGCGAGGTCACGTGACTAGTATCACGCCACTTCTTTCTCGAACCTTCGTGAATTGTCGGGAGATTACTGGATTGGGGGTAGTCTGGTATATATAAGATGGTCACAACGTGACGGGACAATGTGTAGGTAATGAGTAATTGAACTGCAGTCAGAGAGTGTGTAATTGAGTATTGTCGAGCACGAGCACGTGAGACGTTCTAGCGTTTGTTATAGAGCGACTGTTGAAATTAAGTGTATCGGTAAAGTTGTATTCGGAAAGAATAAACCAGTTTTATTTAAGAAAGGACTTGTATTGCTAAAGTTTCGTCGGAACGAATTTACGGAAAATTAAGTAACGACTGGAGGCATATTAATATGTTATGTATGATTACAGTGGCTGTGCTAGGCATAAGCAGATTAAGCGATAGCTTAGTGCCACGATTGATGGAGATCTCTTTTTATTATTTTCATTTGATCCTTGGCTTTTGCCTGTTTTAGAGTGTTAGTCATTTGCATAGAAAAAATAAATAAATGAACGCGATCCAAGGACACATCTGTCAGTAACGAATGAACGTTTAAAAATTGCAGCAGCATGACATTTTTCTGTCAGTGTATAGTCCGCATGCGCTGATTGGTTACGAAGGATGTGCACGCACAGCGTGCGTATTTTGAGAAATATACTGGCGCAATGGTGTTACTGTGTAAGTATTATTGACTTTTCAAGATGAGTATTAGTATGTGTTGCGTTGGTGTATGTTTTGCTTTGCGGAAATAATACGATTAGTATTTTTTGAAGGGATGGGGAGCAGAAATATCCTTGCCAGAGCCCCCAAACAGCTAGCACCACCTCTGTATAACTAAATAAATGTATATGTAAGTACCTAAACGTTAATAGCTATCTTTATTCATTCAAGTTTGAATAACAAAGAAAGTAAAAGTTCATAAATTTGTTACTCAAAACAAATAATCTATTTATTGTTTATATCTTACATAAAAATAACACTAAGTTTTAAAGAGCTTTTGAGTGACTAAAAAAAAAGACTCGTATGTTATTATATTTTATTAAATTAATCTTGTGTTAAAGCTGTGGATATAATAACTTGCTTAAAAGGTAGGTAAATTATTTTAAAAGTCCTTATATAAGTCCTTTACACTAAATGAGTTTAATTGCCGTAAATCACTAGTGTGCTTAATCCTACTATGAATATTACAGCACGTGAATCTTAGGAAAAATAGAGACTGTAAAAACATTGAATAACCTTTAACTGGCAACGCTGTTTTTACAAATAAATAACTCTGATTTCAATAACATAAAGGTGTAAGTTATGAAAATCGACTTTTGTTAAGAGTACATAACTCTCAACAGATGGCGCTCTAACATCGTAATATTATACTAATGTAAAAATGGTTCTGCAAAGAAGGTGGAATTGTATAGAAAGATGCTTGTATCTTCCTAGATCACAATGAAATATGAAAACTATTTAAATTATTATAACAGTACTGAACTAAGAGTATATATTTCAACTGTGAATAAAATGTATAAATTCTAAAATGAACAATTTTATAAAGTAGAACACTTAGTTTCTCAACCATTCTACATAGTAGAGCTTTTATCCAAAAATCATAGATCGAAGTGATGAACAACATATAACAGGTGCCAAGCGTTGCTTACAAATTAGCATGTTCATACTGTGAACCTGAGGGTTCCTGGTTCACGATCCGTTGTCTCCAATTCCGATGAAACAGTAGCAGCTCAAGAGTTGGCAGAGGTGATGTTAATTAGTTGCTTTCCTTCTAGTATTTTAGTTCAAAATTAGGCGTTATGTCTGCGGACTTACAACGCTAGAATCAGGGTTTCGATATCCTTTGTGGGCAGAGCACAGATAGCCCATTGTGTTACTTTGTGCTTAACTTCAAACAAACAAACAAAATCGAAATTACGGACGGCTGTACGTAGACAGGCCTTAAGTGACTTTACGATAAATTCTAAAACAAAAAAGCATAACACACAAATATATATATATACATATATAATCCTTGATTTTAAAACTAATATAAGTATAACATTTATAAATGTACGTTTTGTAAAAATTTATTTCAAGAATGTTTTAATCGGTGGACGTTTTTATCAAATGTTAGGTTTGAAATATTCTATATATTTCTCAGGATAAGTTGGTTTGAATGAATTTGTGTTTTCTCATGGCGATGTAAACCATTTGAGAAGAAGAAAAAACAAATGATATGTATTGTATCAGATGCGAGTTATTTTGGAAAATCTTCTTTTAGGAATTAACCAACATAATCCCTAGAACCGTGACATTGAACAGTGGGTTAGTTTAAATACTTGACTCTGGGCAGGCTATATTAGAAGAACCGACCGTTAGAGGGGTCTGAAAATGATGTGTGGTTAAAAAATTGAGACAACCTGCTTCCAAGTCTGCAATGTTTCTTGCACTCTCAATTAATGTAAGAGTTTGTAACAAGAGCTATCACGTTTCATTGTTTCCTGGCCGTCACATTAAACGCAGCAGTTGCGCTGGTTAAAACTAGTACGACCATGGCATAGCTTCATGATGTGATTAAAGTTGAGTGTTACTCTTACTAAAATTTTGTTTTTTGTTCTTCAATTATTCAAAGCACATCGAGCAACAAAGTAGGTCAACTGAAAGTTTACACTTAATAGATATGAGGTGAAAAATATATTTACTTATACAGCACCGAGAAGATAACGTTGTTATGATAACACAATTGGCCAACTAGTCTAATGATTCATTATAGGGACAGGAAATGCAAATATAAATAAATTATTCATTGAAATATAATTGTCTATTATCAAAAGTCGGCAGTAACATTTTACAATTGCTAATAGATAGATATATGGATATGGGACAAAACAGGAAACAAAATTATAGCTACACCAAACTAAGTATAAGCTTTTTTTTTAAAAAAAACCCTGACATATAGCTCTTGGCTTTAAAATTAACCACTGTGAGGATTTAGAATAATGCTAAATTGAGACGTAAACATTATGTTGTTTATATGGAAGAATAAATACAATGGGAAGAACTCCCAATATTAATTGTTTGCTAATATCATAGTTTGTTAGCACAGTTTATGTTATATATATAAGAGTGAAAGACAAAAGAAATCAAAACTTCCCGGAGTTTATAAAACACAAATTTCACGATAAAAGTTGAGTGCATTGCATTGAAATTTTAACGTTCTAAATATTATAACTGTACAGACTTACAGTAGTATTAATATAATTTTTCATGAGTAAAATATATGATAATAAATAACGTTTTGGTATGTATTTAGTAACGAACATTTAATATTTTTTGTAATATCTGAATTGAAAAAAAAAATATTAGTAATATTGCAGAATAGTACCTTTTCTATTTATTTGTTTTTACGTTTAGCTTTATTACAGGTTCATGATGGTTATCTGTAAAGTAGCAAATTCTTTGTGGACGCAATTTTATTTTGCTTAATTGATGTTTAATTTCATCTGAAGCTTATACTTTGCTTTTAAAACACTATCATCTTAACAGTAAAAATAAAATTGTTTTATAATGAGCTCGAAAATGGTTTCGTTGATAGTTTACTAACAAGTTAAAGCGGTTAAATAAAGGCTTATATGTTGCAAGATGCATTATATAATTATTTTTGCTCATTTACTTTCAATTTTCATGTAGAAGAGCTAAAACCGGAAAGTCTAATCAAACTGTATTAAAAACGACTTTGTAATCAAACTATTACTTATTAAAGTCGCATCCTTATTCTCTGAACGAAAATCAAATAATAATAATAAAACTATTCGTTTCTTTATTGGCATAAAGGGGCTGGTCATCTTCTCATATGAGTAGTTAGAGAAAATATAGCAAGTTCGACAAGCACTACTCAAAGCCACGTGATACTACCACCTACAGAATCTAGCAATTGTAGAAACTTGTACACCTATGGAAGTGATCTATTAAATCAGCTAAAGAAGAAAAAACAAGGAAGAAACACATACACACACACACACAAAAGAAGCGGAAAGAAAAAAAATGTTCATCTTATCCGGGTTCATCGTGCAATAGGATTAAGTGGATATCTTGTGGTGTTTAAATAAAATAAATATCGAATTTGAAATTTAATTGTGCTGACTTTTCAAAACTGCAAATAAAATTCCCCGAGATCTACATGTAGAATTTTCAAGAGTGATATACCATCATGAGGTCTATCTAACTTACTTTCTCTTAATAACTTCTTACTTGTACCTTCTTGTAATCGATCAAACGTATAATTTTAAAAATGAGAATCGACGCAATGATACAACGACACATAACGTAACATTTACTAAACACGCAGGGTATTTGAATTCCAAGGCCTAATTATCTTGCATAAAGAATTTAACACCAAACTGCAGCAGAGATCTATTGCAAAGCTAAGCCGCTAATTATACATCAGAGGCTGTTTATTTTGATTAGGAATACCATTTATTCAACTTTTTCCAGCTGCCTTAATAGCGGGACAGAAAGATGCATGTCATTAGATAACTAGTTGAAAGACTTTTAAGGATTTCTTATTCCAAAGTAATATTTTTGAAGCACTAGTTCGTCTGAAAGGCGAGAGAACCTCCAGGAGCCGCCTACATTAAAAAAAAAAAAAAAGTCGTAGTGAGCAAGCTTGCCAGCACTTGTTTAACATACTACTAGCTCAAGTGCATGTCAAAAGAAACATTAAACCCTGTATAATTATCTTGCACTCTGGAGGGATCGCTCCGCTGGTTCCTATGCTGAATTTTGAATCACTTTGTGGCGGGAACTTGGTTCAGACTCGATGCACGTGCTTTTGATGAGTGAATGTCAAAGTATTATTACGTAGTAGTAGGCACGACTAAAGGGTGTGGCGTAGTCTTGCTCCATTTCATTGGTTCTATGGCTTCGTAGACTATCAGCCGGTGACCATACCACGTGGTTTGAAGGGTGACGCCAGGGAACAAGTATGTTTGTTGATTAAGCCAATCTGAGCGTGCCGTATTTGGCGAACGAGTATCCGCAATCGCTCTTGTTGAACCGCGTGTACAGTGGGTCTACCTATCCCAGGAGTAGTCTTCACATTACTTGTATAGTTGGAGGGAGTTGTGCTGTTTTTCTTACAACTGCTGACATAGTTAACCGTTGTTCAGTGAACATCTCGTCAACCACAATCGCCCATTTTCATTACTAAGCTTTCGAAACGTTATAGACGAAGTGATCAGCAAATATTCGTAAAGGAAATTAATGTTCATTCAATTTCAAGTGACTATAGTATAGACTTGTCGACGCGTTGGTGGGGAGCATTTTTTTTCTTACCAAAATTCTAAACGTTATGTAACATCGCGAATTTGAGACTAAATAGTAGTTATTCTACAGTACTTGGAAGACGTTGGCCAAGTCATTTATTCCTTTTACCAATACTAGTATTAGTTGGTGTTGCCGTTAGTGTTAGGCGTTAACTAGATCGTTTGTCATTTCGTCAATAATTACAACAAATTAGCGATTAGGTCACGTTAACAGTTCTTTGAGTTATTTTCGCTTAAGATACACCGTTGAGAGACAAAAGAAGATGGAATTACGTGTGGGGGGCTAAGAAATGAATATACCGTTATAATTACTTGGATTTGTGTTACCTGTACTTTGAATCAATTCAACGCTAACATCAGTTGTACCTGTGTCACACGCTAAGCCTAATTTCTCTTTGGGCTACAACATTGCTCTTCAGGTGTGTTATGTATCCTGCTAGACATCCGGTCAGTTCAGCAGCACTCCCTGTTGCGGTAAGAACTATTTGTAAATTATTAATATATATATATATATATAATACTGTAGCTGTGCTAGTGTATAAAGTTGGGTTTTGTACGTACTGCTTTAAGTATGGGGACTATGATTACCAGACTTTGTACTATTGTAGTTTTACTTGTATTTGTAAGTTGTATGTTATAAAGAATTTGTAATGATGATCTAGTCTGTGAAACGTTTGGGGAAAATGTATATAAATATAAATAAAGTAAGAAAAAAACAGAAGAGAAAAGAATTTTCGTTTTACAATAAAAGCTACGTTATTAGCTTACATTTTTTATTTCATGTAAAAATTTACTGTTTACATCATAGAGTTCAGGTGATGGCGTTTGAGCTGTTGGGTTTGTTACACACTGTTAGACAATAATTATATTTTTTGTGTTAAATTAGGTTGTTTAAAGTATTACAGTGTTAGTTTGAAATTTGTGTTCAATCTGAGTGCTTGTGATAATGTTGTTATTGCGATTCCTTTCACTTTTAGGGACCCCCGCCACAGGCCGGGCAACCTTTTAAATTTACTGTTGCCGAATCTTGTGACAGAATAAAAGAAGAATTCAGTTTCTTGCAAGCTCAATACCACAGGTAAATTTAAAGTTTGAAGAAAAAAAAATCGACTCGTTCTGTAAAACTAGGCGTTTAGGATGAATAATGAGATGTAATTATATTAACGCTTGCACTGTAGGTAGTATTCGCACTGTGTGAATTATACATTGCATTAGGACAGAGAAAAGCGACAGGTCAGTGATTGATCAGTTTTACACACTGCTGTGGACTGTTTTGGTTGGAATATTTACAATAATTTTGTTATATTTTTATTATTGATTTTTCAGTTTTAGCATTACAGAAATATAGTTATGTATCGACAACATGCCATCACCTAGTTTTTATTTACTTTGCCGTCAGTTGATGTTCATTACGATTCCATTTTGTATATACAACTTACATGAAAATAAATATTGATTCAGTTAATTTGATTTATGAAATGTCCACTTTTTGCTAATGACAGTTTTTAGAGAAAATATTTAATAATATTTAGTAAGTTGGAGCATATATCCTTCACATATTTGGTTTGTTTGATTTTCTAGTTTAAAAATAGAGTGTGAGAAATTAGCCAGTGAAAAGACAGAGATGCAAAGACATTACGTAATGGTAAGGAAAGTATATATTACAGTTTTCCAAAATTCCGTTTCATTATATTGAAATAATTTTCATATATCACAAAATGTCTGTGTGCATATATATTATAACTTGATGTCAGTATATATTTTGGGCCTTTTCTGAGAAATAAAAATTATGTTATTTCCTATTTAGGAACATAAAATAATTTTTATGTTGATGTTTTTTAGCGTAATATGATACATAAATATATCTGTGTAGTAGTTCTGCATCGTTTTCAATATTAATGTGACTGTAATTTATAAACTACTAAAAATGAATATTTCAAACTACAGTTTTAGATATGCAGAAAGGAAAGTTTTAACAATTGTAAAATTTAACACGTACAACCACGTTTTTTTTTGAAAAAGCTATGCCATTCAATGTGAAGTATAGTTTTATGAATGTAATAATTTATTTATTTTGTTAATACTATTCTGTAGATATTATTATTTTGCGTTTCTTAGCTGATTATTTTCTTTTCTTCTGCCATAGTACTATGAGATGTCATACGGGTTGAATGTTGAAATGCATAAACAGGTGAGATGATTGGTCTAAATGATTCAAGAGATATCTTTGAAGTAAATTTAAGAAACTTGTTTGTGTTATCATGTTTATCATGGCGAATTTCTTGTAAGGTAATTATAATACAAACAAAGCGAAAACAACTTAATCATCTAAACATTTATCACCTTAACTACTAAAAACTAATTTTTTGTTTAGAATAAGTTTGTGTATATATATATATATAATAAAGACGTAAGCGTTCATAATGATATAAGGTAAATTGTGATAAAAACTATATTAGAATTATTACATAAAAATTACTGAAACTGTACAAACATCATGTGTATTGATATTTGTTAATCTCTGGGTGATGAGTTTCCTAATGTGTATTGAGTTCAATCCTTTAAGTGGCTCCTAAATATCAACATTCCTTTTTATTTCTTGTCAAACGGATTTGCAAATATTTAGACGTAAGGCATCTATTTTATAAATATTAACACTAAGTTTCATTTTCAGTCTCACCTTTACCGTGTTTATGCGAACACGTGAGAAAACGTTAAGTAAAGAGGGTGAGAAAGACAGGTTGAACCCTGAACCTATGTAAATAATTTACTGTCACAAGACTTTAACAAGTCCCGAGGGATGATTATTACCTCATTTGATGAGCGCGGAATATGACGTGCTACAGCACTCTACAAGAATACCAATCAACCTTCTGTTGCGATGTGCATGGCCAGCAAATACGGACAGATGGCGCTGCAATAACGTTGAAAACGGCAGCGGGTGTGCAGCTAGATACTGTGACCGGCATTCTATTGCGTTATTAACATGACAATACGCGCTAATTCTCTGTGGAGAAGTAAGCGTAACGCGTGAATAATAGCTGGAGAGCGCGCAAGCACATAAAGTTTACAATATCGACAATGGCAATTTGAAACGAAAAGATGAGGACGCTTTGGTATAGGAGTTTAGGAAAAGCTTTTGATTATACATGAATTGTGTTATAACCTTATTTCGGTCACTTGAATAAGACCCGACTGCTGTAGTTCCTCCGTAAATATCGTGATAGTTTTAATTTGTGAATGACAGGTTCTGGTTGGCTAAATAGCGCATATTTAAACGACTTCAATGTATTTTTCCCTTTCCTGTTGTCAGTGAGGCATCACTTGTTATGGATTCAAAGACCTTTTTCCTGTATGAGTTAAGTGTTATTCGTTGGAACTGCTCACAGAGCTGCATAAATTATTTTTTATTGTGTGTGTGTGTGTGTGTATTATTGTATTTTTGCTTTTTTTTATGGCTGACGTATACTATATAGAACAGGTGTATCTAGTGTAACCCTTTCTATCAGGTATTTCCTGTGTATACATATAAAAATGTTGGCGTTACGTAACATAACTGTACTTTTCACCAAAGCTGTGTTAATTTTTTAATAGAATTTTCAAAATATCAAAGTCATACGTCACCGTATATATATGAATTTTGAATCATTTTATTTGCCCAAATATTACATTTTGCGTATTTCTTTTATCATAATTAGAACATGTAACCGTTTGATTGATCATGTTCGATGGGTTATTCAAAACGGGATAACGACATTATACGCTATTGTTTCATGTGAAAAATATTGTTAAAACGCTAACTTATCCCTGTATCGGCTTCTTTGTTGTTGCTAGGCAACGGGAATAATAATGTTTGGAAAGAAAATACCTACGCAGCTAATGCGTACAACAGTCGTTTTTGTCTTTTTAACGTAAATGTTTTACTCCCAGATTGGTCGTTCAATTATTTTAAAAATAAAATATTAGCTTGCGGGGCTAAAGACAACACGGAAAAATATCGTTATTTGAACCACGTGGGTAAAAACTAATTACATATATGACTTAATAAAAAAAATTAAATCACTTTGTTAAAAGCTTTATTTTCTCACATGTTTAGTTAGCTCTTCAGTATTTTAACTACCTACCCTGTTTTCTGATATGTGCTGTTCTTTAGTGATTGATTGTATCAAAAAGTTTCAATTCACGTAATTTTTCATCAAGTTACCAATGTTTTCTTTGAGGGGGGGGTGAAGAAAACCAATTTTTAGGTTCTTGGAGTTTCGTGAATGTTTTATGAGTTCGCAAAGTTATTTTGTGGTGCTAAGAGGCACATTTCGTAGGTTTACAGTGGAAAGCAATTCTTCAGTACGCAGTACAATTTCTACGTACGTACTATACAAGTTTGAAATATATTAGCAAAGTCCAAGGTGACTAAAGAAAAATGAAGTACAGTGAGAGTAGTTTCACGTTTTAGATGGATTAGACTGATGTAGCATATTCATAAAACGTATTCCGCTTAGTATATTTTCCGAAACAAAGGCCACCATATATCTGTGCTCGAGAACTTTGATGTTTGCTAGGCTTTACTTACATTTCAGCTCAGTCTGTTGTTCTCGTAAAAAAAACAATTTTTTACGATAAAATATTGCGTAGTGATAACACATGCATTTATATTTTAACTGTCCTCCTTTACCCGATCACACCACACTTTTCTTGATAAATAGTCTTAACCTCATCGGACATTAAACTGTGAAGTTTGTCGTATAGTTAAATGACCAAGAAAAGTTTTTCTTCACAAATAATTAGTTGAGATTTCGACTAGATAAACAATTAAATAATGAATAACAGTATCCTTGTTTGCCCGAAAGGGGAAAGAAGGCGGCATGGAGGGGGTCACCTGTTTTAACCACTCGCACCAGTATACAGTAGTGTTGTCAGTCGGTCAGTCAGTAGACACTAAAATGACGTCACATAAGGGATGCTTGACGTAGCAATTTATACTGACAGGAAAACGTGCGCATGCCATGAATCACAAGAAGTTTTATATATTCTGTAGGTTACAAGAAATATTTGTTACTCTTAATTTTGGTTTTATTCAGTCTCGAAACAGAACACTTTCGGGGACCCTGCAGAAGTACATCTGGTATATATCCTTATACTGATGTAGGAAGAATAATTGTTTGTAGTTATGCATAAATCTACACAATGGGCTGTCTGTGCTCTGTCTACCACGGGTATCGAAACCCGGTTTCTAGCGTTGTGAGTCCGCAGACATACCGCTGTGCCACTGGGGGGCAGGAAGAATAACCAGTATCATTTGCGTATACTGTAGTTGAAGATTATAATCCTTTTATTTTTTTTAATGTGCAAATGAACGCCACAGCTATCTTGAAATCCCCGTTAAAATAATCTCACTGTTCTATTTCTCTGTGTTGTGCTTGATCGTGATGATTGTAATAGATTAGAAAGGGCAGAACCTTTTCCCGCTAAAAAAAGTTAGACATCGCGGGTTATCTGCAGGGTTAAGATGCATTTTCATTACCCGAAGCTTAGCAGCCTCTGCCAGTGTAACAGCAAGATATCGTGGACGTGGGACTCGACTCGACCAATATTGATTTTGTCAGTATTCCTTCTCACTGTATTTGAGAATACATACGACCAATGTGAAGCAGCCGAAATAAATTATAATTACTGAAATAAGAACCATTTTTATACAGGATTTTTTTTTTCTAATTAAATTCCAGCCATTTGCGATAAAGTCTTTTATGGAGCTTTTATTTAATCTCAAAATTGTTCTTCAATAAACAGTTTCATCACAACACGTCTTGTTTTTCTTGATTCGTATATTTCTCTAATAATATTAGCAGAATGCACGTGAATTGCATGCACTCATTATTTACTACAATCTTTAAGATTTACTTGACATCACTTCTAGTGAGATTTGGATAGAGAGAGAGCGTATTAATGTTAATAATATTATTCCCGTGATTAATTTGTACGGTTGTACTAGTAGGTACTTCAAACTTCATAGTTTTTCTACTGCCAAAAAAATAAATAAATAATGTATTCGTTTGTTATATGAGTGTGATAACGAAAGTGCTTACTTTTGAGAGTTTAAAGGCATAGTCCTTGTATTACTTGGAGATATACATTTAACAATACAGATGCTAAAGCATTGGTTTCCAACCGCTGGCATGTTTTTATACACAAACATCCAATGAATGTATAATTATTTAAGAATAGATGTTCATATTTTCTCAGAAAGGGGACCGAAGGCCCTAGAGGGATCACCTGTTTTAACCACTCATACTACAATAGTGTATCGTCTGTCTGTCAGTCAGTAGACACATGACGTCATATAAGGGACGCTTAGTGTTACAACTTGAACTATCGTGCATGAATCACGAGAAGAATTATGCACTCTGTAGGTATGGTCTGTCGTATACTCTCCTAATGGAGTTGTTAAGTGCAAAACTACACCATGGGCTAAATGCGCCGAGTCCACCGCGGGGAATGTATTACTGGATTTTAGCTTTATAAGCCTCATGCTTACACCACTGATCCATCAGGGGATCTGTTCGTAAGCTTTTGATACAGCTTTTGTAGAGTAAAAAAGGTTCGGAACCATTGTGTTAAGTGTAAAGTGGGTAAAAACAAACTTGCTTCCATGTGGTGTGCTAGAATGACGTCACTCTTGCACTGATTGATGGTTTATTCCCAAAATATACAAACAGTCTTACTTGTCCCTGGATGTTGTGAAATTACAGAATATGGCCAGTTTCGTTTTCATCACAGTATACTGAGTGGGTTGTGAAGTGGAACATGACATTAGCGTTTACTATATCAGATCAATGATAGCATGTAGTATCTAGATGAGTAATGAATCCAGTGCTAAGTTTTGAAACTAGCACGACCCCTTACGACAACAACAACTCGTTCCACTTAAGATAAACGTTTTTTTGCTCTTGGTAAGAGATAACGATTACAAATCGCTTTAAGTACAGTTTCAGGTTGATACCGTATAGCACACGTTTTTATTTTCAGAAACGTTGCTATTTTTAATTGAAAAACTAATTCGTCTAATATTTTTCATTCTAGTCTGAAATCGCCAAAAGGTTAAATTCTATCATTGCCCAGGTATTACCCTTCTTATCTCAAGAGGTGAGCTGTATTTACATTTGTTAGGATTTACAAAGCAAAACGTTTGTTTTAGCATTTGTTGTATTATTTGAATTATATATTTGTGCATGAATCCATCTTGCGAATTAGAAAATGACGTACAGCCTATAAAAACATAACATACTAGAATGTGTATAATTGAATATTTCCTTTATTATTCCAATGTTTCGTGTAATTTATTTCATGTTGTATAGTATTTAAAAAGTTAGAAATATTATGACAATTGAATTTGGAATTAGATTAGTGCAATTAATGAATCATGTATTTTATCACAATTTTAAAATGTGGAGAAAATGTTTAAATCGCTGTAAGGAAAAGTTCATTTGTTCACTCATGTTTGGCCGAAATTGACCACCTAACTTTTACCTTTCAGCAATTTTATTAATTTTTGTGGATTTATATATTTGTCTTTGTTATTATTAGTGTTACAAATTTGTGACTATGAAATGTTTTGGGTAAAACTACTTTTTCTATGAATAACATGTTAGCACCAACAGCAGGTGGCCTCAGCGGTGGAGAGAGCCAAACAAGTCACTATGACGGATCTAAATGCCATAATAGGGGTAAGGCTTTATTGTTTTTTCTCTGCAATATGAAATATTCAGGGAGAATGAGTCAAATCTAAAAAAATATCAGTTTAGAGGATTTTTGTGTGTCAACACACTCTCATGTTACCACTGTTTATTTGCCATATTGCTGGTCAAGCAACACAGCCATTCACTCAGCCAGCACTAAATTAATGATATGCACATAAACCTTCTATGACTCCACACTTTACTAGTCAAGGTCAAATCCGAGATGACACATAGGATCTGGTATTGAACATCATCTTAATTGGCACTAGTGGATGAGAAATGACACACTCCTCCTGGATGGGATGCCAGTCCATTGCAGATTAACCCCCACCTAACAGCTGTTTAGACTGAAACAATTGGGGTAGTGTCCTACTCAATGACACAACAGCATGGCATGAGCCAGTTTCAAATAGGCAACCATCCAAACCATCGGTCTGTGAGCCGAAGAAGCGTGAATCCACTAAGCCACATGCTAAGGACTGTTAATTTAACAATTGTATATAAATTGGTGTTGAAGTTTGGACAACTGATTGACCTGATGCTTATCCGATAGTAAAATAATTTAACATAACATAATGTTTAGGGACAAAAAGGGACCTGTTGGTCCATCTAGGCTGTGCCATCCTTTAAACTAAACTAAACTATAAAAAAAACTCAAAGGGAGGCCTTATTCATATAGTTATTAAGCTTTCTCATAAACTGACTTAAATTTACTGCCTCCACAACATCTTAAGGCAACCCATTCCATAAGCCAACCACCCTGTTAGAAAAATAAAACTATCTTAGCTGAAGATGACTCCTATCCTGCCGCCAAAATTTATATTTGTGTCTCCTAGTCCTACCATTTTCACCATTAAGTATGAAAAAAGATGATACATCAACACTGTCAATTCCATTTACAATCTTAAACCACATAATCAGATCCACTCTAACTCTTCTTTTTTTAAGATAAAACAATTTCTGAGATCTTTACTTCTCCTTGTGTGACAACCTTTCCATCCCAGGTATCATCGTAGTAGCCCTTTTCCAATGATTCAAGGTAAGGAGCCCAAGAGTGAACACAATACTCTAAGTGTGGCCTAACCAGTGACCTATACAATGAAATTATAACCCCTTCAGACTTGTATCCAATATTTCTTTACAAACAATCTAAAATTCTATTTACCTTACCACTAGCAACAGCACACTACTTAGAT